GTCTATTCAACGTAATGATTCGACTCGAATTTATTTAGCTAAAATGATTTAATATAAAAGGATGGCAAATTTTATTTTGGCCCGTATCCATTCTGCAATAATGAATTTACACATTCCTTATAGATGCGTGACGTCCTTGTCGTTTTCCCATCTCTCAGTTGCAAAGAGTGCCTCAAAAGCCTCGAACTTTATGCCTGTCTGTGTCATCCACGTAAGACATAAATACAGATCGCTGGCATTGTCTGCTGTCGTAATACGCACTTAACAAAAAAGACATACTTTAAACCAATAATTGTGTAATAATAAAATACAAACTCACCTTGGCTTGTTAGAGCTTCGCAAATCTTTTTACAACAACGACATACATGATCTGTTAATGGATATGATGTTTTCGTATTCATCCACAATATCATTGCTTTTGCATAGAATTTTATTGCTGAAACAAAATCTTCTCTCGTACTAAAATAATCGGCTAATCCTTCGTGATATAAGGTCGTAAACATAACCACGATGCTCTGGATAATTGAAAATAAAAATGAATGATGCATCAAGCCATTGCGTTTCAGTTATTTTTGACGTGCTTATTACGCTTACTGAGAAATCCGAATCAAATAACTTTTCCCAATATTTCAATACTTCTGCTAATTTCTGGTTAGAATTGCTCTTTATAGGAATGTTTACAAATATTCATAGCAGTAACAGATTTTACTTGTGTTTATCGGCTTACATGCCATTGAAATGTGCATTATATTAGCATAACAATTTAATATGCCGCATATATGTTGAATTTCTTTCCAATAGACATAAACATCTTTCATTGCAAAATCTGCAAGTGCTTTTCCTTCTTTCACTGTCTGTATATATAATTCACTCCTTCAGTCAAATTCTTCAGCTACAGATGTCTTGCTTGCAATAAAGGGAGTCTTATATATTTTGATCGTGTTACTAATAATCGTATACACACAACAGATTTTCAGAATAAGTGCAGCCTAATGTTAGAAATAAGCAAATACATCAAAATTTGTATAAAATTCACATTAACTGGAGGAGGTTTTCTACGAATTTTTCAGAAAACTTGAGACCGGTCTGATTTGTGAACATCTGCAATTTACATAATATCTAGATGTTCAGATATCTTCCTCTTTTCTTTCACGGTGGCGAATATCAGGATGCGCCTCACTCTCATCTTCCCTTTTCCCCATTTCTATAACATCTGAATATCTAAATATCTAACTTGAATATCAGAATAGGTGAATATTTGAACATCCAGATATACATCTAGATATATTATGTAAATTCCAGATGTTCACAAATCAGACCCTACTGGAAAACTTCAAATAAGAAAGCCACTTTGGAATCGCTTTTTTCGGCTTGTTTATCGTACAGCACATCAAACTGACCAACAATTTGAGCAAGTATCATTGCAAAATAAAACTTTTAACGTTTTTAATTTATGTAGGATTTTGTGAAAAGCAGCTGGACTGAAACCCCTTTGATGCGGGGAAGGAAACAAACATTACCACGATGATCAGCATACCGGATAGCCTAAACCATCGAGGATTCTTCAATAAAATCATATTGAGAAAAAAGAGTCATTGTGATGAAGAACTCTGTCTGATCGTCGGTATGTCTCATTCTTCAATAGAAATAGTTTAAAATAAAACTAACAATTTCAAATTGGTTCTTTTTGAGATATTTCCTTTATTTTTGATGGTAGGGATCATACGTCTATTGTCATTTAGATTAATGTATCTTGTTCTTTCTATTTCCCCAAGAACACCTACGACAAAAAAGTGCCAAATCAATGTTTACAAAGATTCATTGAGCTTCTCTCTACTCGCAGCTGTTTTACAACTGGTAAGAATTCTATTCAGATTGATATCAAGAAATGACTAAAGATCATAAAAGAACATTAAAAGTTTCCTTTCTTATCCAAAGGCGCCCATACTCATTTTCATTCGTTTTGATGTTTTTGATGACCAACATATTCCTTACAAAGAAAAATTTCTCCAGCCATCTTTAATAGGATAATTGAGTAAATACGTTGACCAGCATTAGAGAACATGAAAAACTTGTTTGATTCTCAATTCATTTGATCTAATTGAAATCTTTGCATCAGTATTTAAGCACGATCATTACTCGATATTTGAGCAAGCTTTGCAGCTAGAGAAGGACTTTTCAGTGCTACTGGAGGAATACACACGGAAAATATAATATTTGATTATCTTTTTCTTCTTCTCTCCCGTTTTTTCCAGACTTAGGAAAGAAATTGTGTACGTGCTATGCTAGGAAATGGTGTTCTGCTTTTTATATTCAAGCCGTAGTGTAAAAAGATCAAAAGTAGGCCTGGAAAGGTTCGCTACTCTTTTTCAGAGTTTTCTCTGAACATGAACGCTAGAACACGTTCGTGCTCGTTGAAGTAAACTTGTATTCTATAATAACGGTGCTTTTATTGTCTCAAATGATTCTGAAATCTTTAAATTGAATAATTCTGTATTACTTCATATTGATGCATTCTCTCTTTTGTATTTCATACGTGCATCCAACTTCATTCTAGAAGGAGACATGAGACCTTATTGAAAGAGCTTTAAATTTTGCATTTGCTAGATAATATTTACGGTTCGAGTTTTGGCGTTTTCTGATAAAGAAAACCTTAGATAGATAATGACAGCAAACGAACTTTCACGTTAGAAGAATAAGAAAGAGAAGAGTATTACGTTTACTATTCCTGTTTTCAAAAAGCAATATGAGTGGGCAGAACGCTTATAACTTTTTAACGAACAGCGATAGATACCTGCGATTTCAAGATTCAGAACTAGACACTTAGGGCTGTAAATCTATAAAGAAATCAGATCTACAGATCAGGTTTACCACGGTGTACCAATCGAGAGCAAAATTCGAAAGCTTCCCGTTTCCTGATCACACAATGAAATTCGAGCTCAAATAACACCATTCGATAGCCAGCACATCGCTCTTCAAAACTAAGCAAGTACTCGACCATCATCTTCTGAGGTTACAGGGATACAGGCGTTTTGAAAGCGTACACAACGAGAAGAAACTATTACTTCACTATATATTTGAGAGCGGACCACTCTTGCAATTCAAAACCAGAATTCTGTCGATTGTGGAAAAAACACTTTGTATACGAAAATTCAGTATCCAATGTTCGACTTGTCATAGGGACACGATGCAATTCATCCCTACAGCACCTACTACTTAGAAGAAGTCTTCTCGTGAAATGTTAAACAGAAGAAGACAACTACGACGATAATGACATGATTTCAACGTATGAAAAACAAACCATGTATACATGCTACGTGTTCAAAATTCTTGATTGGTTCTTTTTGTATATAACAATGAATAGCGAGTAATGTTCATAATCTTAAAAGACGCTTACATTTTCAAATGTGAATTTACCAACACATTTCTTAAATTCTTCTAGATATATTTCTCCGATGTAGTGAGGGTGGTTGCACACCCTATTGAGAGAGTTCTCACTTCAATCGATCAAAATGGTAGAAGAACTACCGCACACTCAAACAGAATAAGAATTTTTTATTGTCCAGAACGATGATCCTTTCCACCCATTTTACCTTCAGTAGATCAAAGAACAGCTCCTCTCTTTCATATCTGGACAATGTGTATCGCTGTCTCTTTTCATGATGTTCTCACAACTTTTTTTTGACAAATGCTGATGGTAAAAGCTTAGAACAGCAAAAAGAATGCATTAAACAGCGAGTAGTTCAACGGTCACATTGTTGCCCACAGGGCGAGCGTGTGCGTGTTTACCTCATATTCCATGTGGAGAGCGTTGAGTTCAATGAAATCCTGCAGCCATGATTCAAAATGTTCATCGAAGGTTTCATACTCTCCAACTGAAATACGTATATTCTTTAGATAAACCATTTTCCGTAATATTGACGCCAACAAAATATAAACAATAGGAAACGAATTCATTTCAATTGATAATTTTGAAATACTTGAGAAAATCTGAGGAAAGTTTTTCATTTTAGATACTCGATCTTCCGTAAAATCTTCCACCCTTAATGTAATGAGCCCATCCACTTGACGAGTGTCACTTAATCCATTTGTCAGCTGTAATAAGGTATCAAAGTGTAACCGTAAATGACGTAAGTTTGGTACGAATCTAAGGAAGTCAATCAAGTTCATTGAGTTGCAGTTACTATTTCCACGGAGCTCTAAAAATTCACAATAGGCGAACAAGAAACATCGGTATAGTAAAATAATCAGAAATTCAATGATGGAACTTCAGATACTATCAGTTCTTTACTAGAAAAACTCTTGTCTGACCGCTCATCATACCATATTTTTTCTCACCTATTTCCTGAACAGATGATAACTGAACCATTTTCGATATATCGTCTAAAAATGTGGGTAGCAGTAAACTTTGAGATTTGGGACGTATTAATAATGAGTAAACATTCGAATAATAACGCTTTGGTATGTCATTATCTTTGTTCGTGACCGTGATATATAAATATTGGACATCAAAGCTGTTCGATCTTTGACCTTCAAGACTACAATTGAAATGATGTAGATAGGAAAAATATTACAGTGTTTTTTACTTACCGAGACGTTTTCATGTCATATAAATATGTTGAAAACCAGCGTGAGTCAATAAATGGTAACGTGTAAGCATAGAAATACTTGTTGTTGTACTCAACTTGAATATTCCATTTGTTATCCGTCCACGAATGGACCAGATCATCGACCGTCTCATCTACTCGTTCTGAATCAATCAATAATTGAAATTTCGTTAATAAAGATAGTGTTGACAGTAATTTGGCCCATTCACGACCATCGGCACAACCAGTAACGTAACAAGCACACATCAAGTGCTTTAATTGGGGTAAATTAGTCAGTAATAGCTGAATATCACTAAATGTCACGCTATGTGACACTAGTGCTAAGGAGAATAATTTTGGCACATGTTTACCTAGACCTACATACTCTTTTTCATCTACCAGTAGCTGCTGTGATCGTCCTAAACAAGAAGCCACTTATTGGCAGTTGTCCATATTAACGTTCAAAGCACAGCAGTTGAAACTCTTTTTGACTAATGAGGGAAGCTTTTTTTCGAGTAAACTGATTTGATTTGATTAACCCGGGTAAAAGATTATAGAGGCTCCCACTTGGAGTTCCTGAACTTGAAAATAAGTATAACTTGGCTAAACGTCAGACTTGCAAAAGTTCTGATAGCACCTTTTAAATAAGCATTACCTAGGTTACATTTAATATGTTTGATATTTGGTAAAATTTGAAACATGACTAAAAGGTCTTTCACAGAACACCGCCTAATATTTAAATATTCAAGCGAATGTAGCGTAAAGTCAGTCGAACCTAAACTAATATCATGCTGATCACCGATTAGTTGTAACCGCACAAGATGTTTTAATTTTGATAATTTGACTAAAATCCTTCTTTCGTCATCCAAATGTTTTGGATCATCTAACGATAATGAGCGAATAGATGTGAAGTCGGCAAGATCAAATGATTTTAAAAACTTTTCTAATCTATTCTCAGGAATGTGTAAATACGTTAAGCGATCCATAACCCGTGGTATCACGTAGCCATAACAATGAGCATATTTTTTTCGACACATGTACTTGTCTATTGTTAGTCGAATATCAGTCGCGTCAATTATTGAATTAAGACGAAAGTTTAGATTATAAAAACCAACGTATAAACGATAAGGTTCGATATATTCAAAAATTTCAAATAGTATTTCCAACGGCAAGGATTCGAATTTCAATAGATCAACCATACTAGTCTGCAATAACAATATTTGTGTAATAGCATCTTCCAGAAGTTTAACCTTTTGTACCGTGAACAAAAACTCGATGAGACCGAACTTCTCATCAACACTTTAGGATTGAATACTGATTATTCAGGATTGATGAGCAGTCTGTTTTAGCCACGAGAAAGGTTTTATTTTCGCACTAACTAGAGTTTCGAACTACTGTGGTAACTGTCACAAATTTCAATATAAAAGTAACTGGATTTCATCCTTACTTTGATAATTCTTATAACGTGAAAATGATTGAATAAAAATGATGAAATATTTCAAGAAATTTTTACATGAGAACGTTATTCAGTTGTTCGGATATTTACGTTGAAGTTTAGTAGTATTTACCATGTGACTAAAATTGCGCAATGTCAAACAAAAATGACAGAAAAACATGATGAATGATGCATGAAAAATGAGTCAACTTTCACGGACAAGTGTCTTTGTTATGCCGCTGTTTGATTTTTCCTTTACTTTCTGTGTACAGAGCCGCACTCACCATCCTTCCGTTTTCTTCTTTCTTCGAAAAGGGAACCGCAAACACAACGAGATCGGACGATAAAATGATTAACGTTTCATCGAAAAAATTCCATTATTGAGCACTGCCAGCCAGCATCTACCCAGTCATAATAACTATGAATAATTGTGCATCTAAACATACCTGAACCAAATTTTTGTCATTATTCCTGAATGACTTATGAAATATCAAAAATCAGCCGCTAGAGCGAAAATTTTGAGCAAAGTCCAACGTTAAAAAATTCATAACTTCACCAATATTCACAGGACCGCCGAAATTTCTTGAAGATACATAGTACTCAACGCGCTCTGCAAACAGGCATAATTCGAGGATAGGTTTGGGGGTAGTTGATGCATATATGATTGAACACAGTTGTTTAATTTTAATGAATCTTGGCGATGCTTGTGGCGATAGATGCTGCACTTCAATAATGATGACAATGAATGGACGATTGACATGGCCAAATTCGATTTGGATCAATGCTGGTTGCTGTGTTTTTATATCGTGTTCGGTACCGATAGCAAAATCGACTGTTTGTCGTGCTTGATCAATTAATTCGTCTAATGTATCCATTTCGGTTTCGTGGTGGATAAAATAATATGAATATGATAGTTGTTGAAATTCTATACATTTTCCCTGTTCACATAATTGTTGGTAGTGGTTGTTTCGGTCCCCGTTTTTTGGTGTATATCTCTACTCTTTTTACACGCATCTAAATCTTGTAATGGTGATCGATAAAGTTGTGAACGAGGACGATGATTATAGTTATAATTAGATATCTGCAAATTGTATCGTTATGATCGCTGAGGGACGGGACAATTGTAATGACTGTGTTCGTTCGAATAATGGTATGATTGAATCGGAGCCCCCATTCCATCCGTATCAAAATAAAAAGCGACAGCTAACTACTGACGCTATTGATTTTTAAAGCACAAACGGAGCCGAAAATGTAATTGTTTAGTTTTTAACCAAAGAACTATATATTTATGCACACAATATCGAGAAATGCAGGAATTGATCACCAGACAGAATACAGCAAAAGTAAAATATAGAGCTAAGTATAGCAGTGTTAACATCACATTTTATAGCTTTTATTATTGGACATCATGAGCTAGAACGCTTTGAAGATGAGCGTATTTCTTTGATTCAAAAAATGGATCTCCGTTTTACTCTTTAAAATGACGATGGTTCTTCTCTTTGGCAGAGGTATTGTTCTTTTTCCATAATATTTGATAGGATAGTCTTTGTCAAAATAAATATAATTGTTTCAGAAACATGTATTTTGATATATAATCTTCTGCGCTGATTCAAACTTCCTCTTCATTTTCACTAATATTTAACATTCATATTTAAAATATTTCCAGCAAACAAGTTCCGTCACCTATGTCAATTATTCCTACAAAAATGATAGTGAATGCATTTCAATAGAAGAAACATGCATTTATTTTTATTTGAAAATTACACATAAGCTGATTTTTCAAAATTAACACTGCTTTTGAGAAAGACAAACAAAAAAAATGTTTAAATATTTGAACAAACTTCCTTCTTGGGATGACATTTTGTTCCACATTTGACATTTTTCGTTCGACATGGGATTTAGTAGCACATTTACCATTACAATGACATTCTTCAGCAACAACCAAAGTTGTACCAACATATTTCTTACATGCTTGGATAAACGTTATTGTTCGTAACAGAGTGAAATCAATTGACCGTAAATCTTCGAAATCATATTTATTCAAATCTAATAAATCAGGAGTCGTCTAACGATTTTTCATCAGATGATAATTGTATTGATATAGTAGACCGCAAAAGTAGCTCCTCCCCCCTCTAACTCAAGAACCATAATAACTAAGGACTCTGATTCTGTATGATCATTGTTTTCACCGAATACTGATCACCCAGCAGGTTTCGGCATCTTTTCCTAGATCATTCGTGAGATATAAGCATTTCATTTCTTTTCGGTAAAATGCTAATAACTCTTGATCCAAGAGAGGTAAAAACTTTATACGTTTAATAATATGCTGTTCGACGTATTCATATTGAAAGTGGGACAGGATACATATCCCAAAAAATGCCTGACACTGAGAATAAATCCCTTATTTAAAACGCCCGACAGTGGAAGTGTTAAATACTAGAAAAGATTTTTTAACATTAACTCAACCTTTCAATGTAACATATGAGTCTTTTTGTTTTTCTTAAGATTAAAGAAGTTTTTTCCGTTTTCCAATGATCATGAGATTTCTTTTATGGAAGACAAACAGAAAAATAAAACAGATCAAATGCTAAACTAACACAAGGAAAGAGATAAAAAAACATGTTGTACTGGGTATACCGGAAAAAGTTAAAAAGAAAAATATTAAACGACTAATATTAAAAATCAATTAAATATATTTCTACCTTATTTAAATATTTTTCTTGTTGTAAGATAGAAAAATATTAAAGTTTTTCGTTCGGTTATAAATTAGAAAAAAACTTAACATTCGGTTAGAAATTACTTCAAATTGACCTCTCCCACCCTTGGCCATTGGAGTGGCCATTTGTAGTACTATTGTAAAAAATAAAGGAAGCATGGAATTCAAAAATGTTTCGAACATGTCTTATAGTGAACTCCATAAGCTATCGATTAATTAAGAGAATATTTTGTTTTGTTGCTCTACCTACGAAAACAATGAGTTACAAAATCGGTAGTTTTGAAAAGCACCACGAAAGTTGAATTTTTTTAACAATTATTTTTCTACCAACAGGCCAGATACATGTTGGGGACGTATTGTGTGGTATATATCGATGATACTGTCTGCTACTGGTATCAATGCCTTTCGGAAGTTTCACAAAAGCTAGGTAGATAAGAGACGGTAAGTCATACGCTCCAGTGACTATTAGGGGAAGAAGACATGAAAAAGTTTTTTTCTTACATGTTGTTTTTGCTGTATATGTAAGACTTATTGCTACATATGCAATAGTTATTGATAACTGTGCACAGTTAAGTAAATTATTGACATTATTCATAAATACAAGCGTTGTTTGCAATTATTAGATATGGTTCGGACGATCCCGGGCCAAAACGTTTTTTAGCAGGACCGGGCTCAGGTCCGGACTGTCCCGCTTGTGTCCAGACATGAATCTAACAAGGATATGAGAACAGCAGCCGTTTTCGGTCTCGGTTCTGATTGTGGTCCTTCTAAAAAGAATATTTTGGCCCTAGACCGGGACTGAGACCGTTTCACGCATATCTGATAATAACAAATAGCGTTTGTATTTATAAATAATGTCAATTATTTATTTAACTATGCGTCGTTGTCAATAAATATTACATATGTAGCAAAAACGACAAAAAAACTTTTCATCTCATTCTTCTGCAATGGTAACCGGAGTGACCAAACTACCCTGCCCAAGGGACAGTATGTCTGGTCGATCTGTTCATACCAATGGCATATTGGGGAAGCTAATACGCTATTTGTGTGGTTATTTTATCAGTTTCTCTCCTGGAACCGCTTTCGGGAGTAAACAGTTACTTAAAAATTCTTTTAAAGTTCAAATAGATACAATCATAGAAACATCAGTCTCATGAAGACTTTTTTGAGGAATTTATCGCGAAAATTGATTTTTTTATCCACTTGTCACTCATTTTTATAGTATTTGTCGAAAGGAAAACGTCATCGCGATAAAATAGATCATTACACTGAAAAAATTCTTTTATTGCGTTTTATCGCGATCTGAAATTTATCCTAATAAATAACTTTTGTATCCATCCATCACCCATTTCTCTAGTATTTATCGAAATCGATATTTATCGGCTGGTATCGCGATAAAGAACTTTTAGCGCTTAGTCTTTCAATGGAAAAAACTAGATACGTTTGCCAATTTGGCGAACACGATGCCACTGGAAAGAGCAGTGTCGAAAACCTATAAGAAACATGTTTCAAGTAGTTCAGGTTACTTTATCTTGAAATTCAAATTTTCAGCACGAAATTGTTTGCGTGAATCTCAAAAACTAAGAAATTTCTAGAATTCAAAATCCCGCGACCGAAACTAGATGAGTTATACACCATTCGATGCAGGTTTTCACGCTGATTCCGAATATGGTATTATATTTGAAGGGAAGTGCATTGATAAACGAGAAAACCATGAAATACCTCGAAAACCGTATGGATTTTAGAAAATTGATATTTCGACTTTGACGAAAAGTCGCATAAAGTCGCATGCAGTATAAGTAGAGTAGGTGCTGGAGAATATTTTAATATAATTAGAACGTCGATTTGACTGTAGCGCTTTTTAGCGATTCCATTATACTGAGTTGATCTCATCCCGAACTGGCTCTAAACAAATTCGATACAACGTTCTTTATAGAATTCTGTTTTGAAGTATACATATTTTGATATCACTAGATAGCGGAGGATCTGCAGATTCTGAATATGTGCTTTTGAATCGTTTAACATAGCTAAGCGAACAAATAATCAAGATTTCATGCGTATGTGCCTAATTCATAAAAATTATTGAAAACTTCCGCTTTACCTTGAGTTTGTAAGTTCGAAAATATCTTTTCTTATTCTACGTCAAAAAAATGTACGTAAAATATACATTTTCGATGTCAAACAATTTTAAAAAAGTGGTGAGTCGAGAAAGTTTTCTAACGTTTTTCTAGAAATCGAGTTTTGCAACTCCCTTATAAAAAGTTTATAAGCAATTTTGTTACGATGCAGTCGACTGTTTTACTTCGTTAGAACCGCTATTACATTTAAAACTATACAGAAAATTCGTCTTTTCTAAATCAAGAGCGGAAAATTTGGAATTTTGTGGGTAATTCTCAACTTTCTCTATCCTGCAAAAAACAAGCGCCGCAGGACACGTTTCTAGACGACGAATGGGACACTTGTAAAGTGTCCCACTA